GCAGCCTTCACGCCCTTCTTGCCAGCAGGTGCAGCGGCCTTCTTGGCGGCAGCGCTCAACTTGGCGGCAGCAGCGGCGGCGGCATCCTCGCGGCGCGCACGTTCGCGGTCCTTCTCGCGCTTCTTCAGCTCCTGCTTGCGGGCCTTGTGGCGGTTCTGCTCATCCTTCAGGCGCTTCGCCGCAAGCTGCTCAGCCAGCTGGCGCTCCTTCTTCTTCTCGTTCTTCACCTTGTGGATGTGCTCCATAAGGTTGCGCTTGTTGCGGAACACGTTGCCCTTCGCCTTGGTGTACAGCTCGCGGTAAATGTGGCGGTCGATCTTCTTCTCCTCGCGGTACTTGCGCAGCAGGCGGCGGAGAATGCGCAGACGGCGCATCCACAGCTCCTTGCTCGGCATGCGCGCCTCGCGGGTACCCTCACGGCGGCCAGTTCCCTCGTGGCGGCCCATGCTCTTCGCCTCCTTCATGTGACGCCAGCGGGAGCGCGAGTGCACCTTGACAGGCTTGCGGATGACAAGACCATCCTTGATCAGCTTGCGCACACTCTTGCGCGAGTTTGCGTTCTGGATCTCCATCGCCTCATTGGGGTCCAGCCACACACGGTTGCGACCGCAGCGGAGGATGTCCGCAGCCAAGCGAGCCTGCAGCTTCAGCGACACCATCGTGTAATCGTGTGTGCTTTACGACGCGAAGTGTGAATGCCTACAGGAAACAAAAAAAATTAAAGAATAAGATATAGGATTTCATGTTAGAAGCAGCGGTACTGGATACGAGGAAAACATATGTTGCACCACTCTCAAACTTTTCTTGCAGCAAGGCAACAGAGCAGAAGAGTCAACAACAATAATAGCGTAATGCTTCCCCTCAGTGCAACACACAGCCTTATTGTGTCGTGATCCATGTACTCTACATGTGTGTGGCCATGACAAGAAAGGCAGCTGTGTCTCTTCATCGACCGCTGACGAACAAAAAAGAACAACAGTCCAAGGAGTGGATACAGATGCTGCATGATATCCACGCATCACTCCTCAAGAAACGCTGCGAGCGCCTTCATCTTTTCAGGTGCAAAGCACTCCTGCATCTTCTTGTCTAGGTCGGCCTGATACGCGTCTGCCACATTCCGCCGCACGCGTGCCTGTTGGTGCCGTTCGGCGAGCTCAACGGGCACGAGGGCTTTTTCCTCTCCCATTTGTGACGCAAGCCGGCGCCGCATTTCGTCATTTAATGCAGCCTCGATTTGACGGCACTGTCCCTTCTTCAGCTCCTTCGAGTCAAGGCCTTTACACTCACGCCGGTGATTGCAGAAGATGTCCTTGTGGAGGTACACTCCGCACATGTCACATTTAAAGTACTCCAAATCAGACGTGGCGTGCGACATTTTCGTTCGCAACTTCTTTGCGCTGTGCGGGATACACCGCCACACAACTGCGCAAATGTCGACCAATAAAAGAAAAACGGGAGAGAAAAGAAAAGCAAGAATGGTTTAAATCCAGTCTACAGCATACCCTCACAGAGGATCCTCTATCCAGTCTTGCGGAAGGAGCACCAAGTCTACGCTTCTTCACTCAGTGGAAGAAAAAAAAACAAATGAAAACGACTTACTGGTCTTGGGGTACGCTTCACTTCTTGCCACCAGCCTTCTTGCCGGCAGGCGCGGCGGCAGCCTTGGCGGGAGCAGCAGCCTTGGC